GGGGGGGCTCGACGGCGCCTTCGCCGCCGCTGCTCCTGAGCGCGAGCCGCAAAGAGCGGGAAGCGCGAGGGCCTTCAGCCCGGCGGGCCGTGCGCACAGGGGGCTCGTGCCTAACTGCCGGGGAGCAGCTGTCCAACGCCTGGGGAGAGGGCCGGGTGCAGCGGGAGCCCCGCGGGGAGCCCAGCCGCGCCTGCGTGTTGTGCCGGCTGAGGGCGGCTCAGGTGGCCACGTGGGGCAGGGGAGACAGGGAGCCCCTCTTCCCAGCTGCGCCCCCCATCATAGAGCACGAGGACTGGAAGGGACCGCGAGAGTCGTGGAGTCCAGCCCCTGCCCGCATGGCAGGACCCAGCGCGGTTGAGCCCATCCCTGGCAGGTGCCTGTCCCACCTGCTCTGCAATATCCCCACAGATGCGGATCCACAGCCTCCCTGGGCAATTGAGTCCTGCGTTTGACCACCCTGCAGGCAGGAAGTTTTTCCTAATGTCCAACCTAAACCTCCCTGGCTGCAGTTTAAGCCCCTTGCTTCTCGTTCTATCCTCTGAGGCCAAGGAGAATAATTTTTCTCCCTCCTCTGTGTGACACACTTTTAGATACCGGAAAGGTATTAGGAAACGCTGCTCCCCAAGGCCGGGGCAAGAGGCGCTGCCCTGGGAAGGGGTCTCCCCAGCAGGCAGTGCTGGGAGAGGGCAGCATCTTTGCCTTTAAACATCACGAGTAAATAGCAGCATAGATTAACATAAGGCAAGTATCAGAGGGGTAGCCGTGTTAGTCTGAATCTGCAAAAGCGGCGAGGAGTCCTGTGGCACCTTATAGACTTATATACACTTCAGTTAGTCTATAAGGTGCCACAGGACTCCTCGCCGCTTTTGCAGATTCAGACTAACACGGCTACCCCTCTGATACTTGCCTTACAGCAGTTCTCATTCCCCTCTCCTGTTCATTCGTGCACACCCCACCTGGGCAGGTCAGCCTCTTCCTGTCTATATCCATTTACAGCACCGGGGAGCAGAGGTTGGCTGAGGGCAGCGCCTGCTACTTGGGACCTGTTTCCTTTCCTGCATCCACTCACACATCCAGGCAGAGTTCCAGTGGGCAGCGTCCGCTGGCTTCTTTCATATGCCTTCGAGGGGCAGTGGGCACTGTCGGGGGTCTCTGCTTGGTGGCCCCATCCCTCATTTAGCCCTTTGACCTCCACACCCATCCCTGTTTTTTCTTTAGTTGGATTTATTTGAGGTTTAGGACTCTATGGGTCCTCCCCAGAGGCTGGGGGAGGATCCTTTAGCCTGCCTACCGCCTGGACCCTGATAGAAGCAGCTACGTGGTGTGAAAAGGTACTTTAGATAGCCTCCAGCCCTCACACTTCTCCCTGGAAGCGCAAGGGTCCCCCATGCACTTCAGCTGGTATTGGTCATTCTGGCCCACTGCTTTTGGCGATCCCATGGTTAGCCCCTGTCCACAGGCAGCGTTTTCTTCAGTTCTCTCAGCTGCTGGCTTTGCAGGGGTGATATGGAGAGCACAATCACTGATCAGTAGTGGACTACTTGTGCTAACGGTATATGGATTCTCAACCTGATAAAAATCTAGCATGTATGCATCCCAATTTAGTTTTATCTGAACAGCAAATGTGGGGGGTGGAATACCTTTGAAAAATAATAAACATGGAAATCCCCAGCTATGCTTTTTACAAGACCTGGTTTTCAGGATAGAAGTGCACTTTTAAGTTATGTACAAAATATCTATTTTTAAACATTTTTACTATATTTCTTTTTAGAGGAGGAGAGGGAGAGAAGAAATGGGAACTGGGGTAGGAGAAGATTAAATTGGAGGAACAGTTCCCTTCACTTGTTTTCCCTTGTCTCCATTTGCTTTTTTTGTCCTAATAGTCTTTACTGCCTCTGAACTGTTCGTATCTTATTGTCTGAGTTTGTCAGGAGATCAAGGCTACAGAAATCCATCACCTGAGGGAGTTGATTAAGTGGGTGTAAAAACAACAAGTGGTCCTGTAGAACTTAGAGAGTAACAAAAATATATATTTAAAATATATATGTATAGTATCATGAGCTTTCGTGGGCAAAACCCACTTCCTCAGATGTGTACTCTGTCTGAGGTAGCAGGTTTTGCCCACAAAAGCTCATGACATTACATATTTGTTAGTCTCTAAGTGCTACAGGATCACTTGTTTTTTAAGTGGGTCTAGAATGATGCACTAATTAACCGCTGATCATGCTCCCATCATGGACTCTAGAAACTCTCCCATTAATCCCCACAGTGAGGATGCCATGGTAAGTTGAATTAAGGTACATTGACTCCAGCTATGCTATTCATGTATCTGGACTTGCATACCTTAGTTCAACATTGTCCCTTAGTCAAAATCTGGCCTCTGTTTCACCTGTTTTCTCCATTTCTTCAAGAGGCACCACAGCCTCAGACTACAACTTTACATATTTTATCATTCTCCACTCTTTTAGTCAGTATAGCTAAAAACAGTCCACAGGCCAGTCATACTTGATGCACAAAACTTACAAGTGTATGTGGCGTAATACAGATTTAGGTAACTCCTACATCCTATAAATGTAAGTCTGAAAATATGGTAAAAATATTAATTGTACATATATATGGCAAAAGGGTGTTTAATTTCTGAAAAAGTGTGATAAAAATTAGTGGATTAAAATATAAGATACAAATAGTGAACACAGTTAACGTAAAGGTATTATAATTTAAAATGTGATGAAAGCCACAGGGGTGATGGTTTGATTCCATCTAGCTCTAATAGATGAAAGTATTCCATGCATGTTTTTTAATTTGCCATATTCAAATATTTTAAAGACCAATAGCTGCTCATTAAAATTGCCACAGTATTATCATAACCTTGAAAACATTAGGAAAGACAATTAGCTGCTCTTTAAGTATCATGAAACTTTATCGAAAAAGACATCCCAAAATTAAGCTAGACAAGTACCTGAAGTAAAGAATATATTATTAGCTGCAACGGCAAATTCACGTGGGAGAAGATACACATCAGCTGCCTGATCCTTTGACCATTAACATTTGTAAAGTTTAGACAAAACCACAAAAGCCAACACCATTAAGGAGGTAGGGTGTTTTTTTTAATAATAATCCTGAGATAAAGCTAATTGAAATTTCACAATCATTCTAAAGAGGGAAATGTTTTTAGTGACTGTACAATGCTTCAGATACATAAGATTTTTATGGTCTTTTTTCCAAGATGCCCATCATCTCTTTATTTCTCTTTTTAGAAAGTTGGGGGACACTAACTGTATGGGATTCTACCTTCAAACTGTTATAGGCAGTGCCCTGGGTATGGCTGGATGTACGTTTCAAATGGGAGCATGTAGTTGTCTAAGAATAAAAACAGACTTCATAATATATGCTGTTCTCCTCTGAAGAGGCGTCCGTGCCTGGCACAGCCTTGGGGTTCACAGTGCCCAGGAGTCTGAAAACGCTTTCTTCACTCACAAGTATGTCCAAGGGGAACCCAGGCCCACTCAGGCCATTGGGTTCTAGCTCAGGGCATATCTACACAGCAGGGCTAAAACTGAAATAAGCTATGCAACGTGAGCTATGTCAGTTGCATAGCTTAAGTCAAAATAGCTTATTTCAGCTTTTGACGCTGTCTAAGCAGCAGGAAGTCCAAGTTAGAGCACTCTTCCTCTGACTTCCCTTACTCCTCATAAAATGAGGATTACAGGAGGCACAGTAAGAAGTCCTCCAGCTCAACATTATTTCTATGTTATGTTGAAATAACTGCTTCCTGTGTAGACATGGACTACATCAGTTATTCCAAAATAACACTTGCTGTGTAGACATACCCTCAGGGTGCTCAAGCTGGATAAACAGGATCAGAGTTCTTGAACAGAGTGCTCTGAGCTCCTTCCTACCTTCCCCGGGATCTCTATAGGCTCTCCCACCTGTTGATCAATTCATCCCTTCTTGAGTTGTTTTTCAGCAGCTCTTTAATAGCTTGCTGGCAGAAACAATTTTCTCTATCCTATTCACTCCTCTAGTACCCCAAGCTACTCTACGTTTCTGCTTCCCAGAACTTTTATCTTCCCAGGTGTTGTGAGACTGCCAGTCAGTAGTGACTAACAATGCTTGTGTTAGCCCCTTTGATTGCTGAGCTAGTGTGGGGTACATACTCCCCATGACAACCTCACGTAAATAGTTCCGTTGATTTTGTCCTGAGTCAGAGCAGGAGGATTTCATTCATAGTATTCTTCCTCCAACATAATCTACCATGATGCTATGTCTGATGCAGGAAAAGCATGCTGAATCACACATTAAATAAATTGGACATAAAGCCTTTGCTGAGTGATGGAGTAGACTTTGGAACAGCACATGCCAGCAAAAGAACATTGATCGCAACCACTCCAGAATGTGACCATTGTTGGAGAAAAATCATATTCATATTCATCCCTACTATATTTCTCTTTCATGAAGTTATA